ACCTTCTGGAGAATTCCTAGGCTACATAGTTACAGAAAGAGGAATAGAAGCTAATCCTAATCAGATTAACGCTTTCCTCACGATGCCTTCACCAAAAAACATTAAAGAGGTCCAGCGGTTGACGGGCAGAATTGCTGCGTTGAATCGTTTCATTTCGAAATCTACTGATAAATGTCTCCCCTTTTACCAGATTTTAAAAGGGAACAAAAAGTTTCGGTGGGATGATCAATGCGAAGCAGCTTTCGATCAACTCAAAACTTATCTAACAACACCGCCGGTTCTCTCAAAAACTGAGTTAGATGAGAAACTTTATCTTTGCATCTCGGTTTTTAATCATTCTGTAAGTGGGGTTTTAGTTCGAGAGGATCGAGGTGATCAGAAGCCGATTTTCTACATAAGTAAATCTCTTACCAGTCCGGAAACGAGATAGAAAACTACATAATTAGCTTTAGCGGTAGTCATATCTACTAGAAAACTCAGACCTTATTTCCAATCTCATCCGATAGAAGTTTTAACTTCTCATCCGCTTCGCTCAATTCTTCACGGACCAAGTCAGTCCGGTAGATTGGCGAAATGGGCAATCGAGCTCAGTGAGTATGATATAGAGTACAAAAGTCGAACTAGCGCAAAAGCATAAGTACTGGCTGATTTTCTTACCGAACTACCACTAGATGATGGAATCCTTATTGAAACAGACTTTACATGGAAATTACATGTATATGGCTCTTCTTCTAAACAAGGATCCGAAATCGGTATTAGGCTCGAAACTCCAACAAAGGAAATAATCGAACAGTCTTTTCGATTAATGTTTCCGGCTTCGAACAATGAGGCAGAATACGAAGCTCTCTTAGCAGGACTTCGGCTTGCTCTTGCAATTGGAGCAGAAGAATAATAGCTTATTGTAATTCTCAGCTAGTTGTAAACCAGTTCGCTGGAGATTACGAAGCTAAGGCTCCTCGAATGGAAGCATATCTATCGACTGTAAAAAATTAGCCGGAAAATTCAAAGAATTCGAGTTAGTTCGAATACCTCGAGGAGAAAACACTTCGGCAGACGCCTTAGCTGCCCTAGCTTCTACCTCAGACCCTGAGCTCAAACGAGTTATCCCAGTTGAATGTATTTCTTCGCGAAGTATTTTGGTTGAAGAAACAGAAAACGATAACATTTTGGAGGCCGAGCATATCGAAATTCCAAAATCAAGTTCCGGAAATGAAAATAATTCATTTGTGGTCACCAGATCAGGAGTAAAATCTCAAAATGATGAACTTACTTCACCATTGGAACTTCCAAAAAGAAAGCCAAGAAGAAAATTAAAGGATCAAGAGGTTCCCGCTGAAGAACCGTCTCGAACTGAATAGACACCTCCAGGTGATGAAGAGGTTCGGGAAACAATCGAAGATCCTGATATTCCTTCCGAACCCAAACCAAGGAAGTTTGTACTCAAGGATAATACTTCCGCTAATGATTGGGGGGCTGACTGGAGGGTAACCATCAAAAATTTCATTATTAATGGAACCATCGAACAAATGGCAAGCTCGCAAATTAAAAATCATCAGCGCTAAGTATTGTATAATTAAAGAGTCATTGTACAAGTGAGGCGTCAGTGATCCTTACCTTTTATGTATTTTTGGACCCAAATATGAAATAGTGATAAGCGAGGTCCACGAAGGGCTTTGTGGTAGTCATTCTTCGGGACGAGCAATGGCTTTCAAAATCAAACGGTTAGGATATTTCTGGCCAACTATGATTTCTGACTACATCGATTACGCCAAACGGTGTAAAAAGTGTTAGATGCATGCTCCTCTTATTCACCAGCCATCTGAAATTCTGTCATCTATATCCGCTCCATACCCTTTCATGAGGTGGTCAATGGATATAGTTGGTCCGACGCATCGCTCAACGCGAGGCGTCCAATACCTATTAGTTCTAACGGACTATTTTTCCAAATGGATCGAAGCAGAAGCCTACGTAAATATACAAGATTCTGTGGTAAAAACATTCTTGTGGAAACACATTATTTGTCGCCATAGAATTCCTTACGAAATAGTAACAGACAACGGTCCTTAATTCATTTCAAATGAATTTGAAGATTTTTGTTCTGCTTGGGGAATAAAACTTAGCTATTCAACGCCGAGGTATCCTCAAGGAAATGGGCAAGCGGAAGCTTCCAATAAAACCATTCTCAGCAATCTTAAAAAGCGTTTGAATGCTCAGAAAGGTGGTTGGTATGACGAGCTGCAACCTGTGTTGTGGGCATATCGAACAACCCCGAGACGAGCAACGGGAGAAACTCCAATTCTATTAGTATATGGGATAGAAGCTGTAGTCCCAGCCAAACTGAATGTTCCTGGTTTACGCCGGAGCGAAGCTCCTCTTAACGAAGAACTAAATTCTAAATTATTAGAAGACGTTCTTGATACAATCGATGAAAGGCGAGATCAATCCCTTATTCGACTTCAAAACTATCAACAATCGACCGCTCGGTACTATAACTCAAAGTTGAAAAACAGACCTTTAAATGTAGGAGACTTTGTTTTAAGACGAGTGTTCGATAACACGAAAGAAGAAGGAGCTGGAAAACTCGGTATTAACTGGGAAGGTCCTTATCAAATCACAGAAAAAGTCCAAAATGGTGTTTATCGTTTACAAGACCTTGACGGAAATCCCGTTCAAAGGCCTTGGAACGTCATCAACTTGAAAAAGTTCTATTGCTAAAGCAAACACAATCGAACTACGATTTGGCTTTGATCCTATTTTGGGTACGTAGGCAGCTCGCTAAACACGAGTCCAGCTATAACATAAAAATAAAAATATTATTCCTATCACGGAGTCTTGTTTTTATAAATTCAATATTCGAACATGAATATAAAAATACATTGCGAACGATGTATAGATAAATAAGCTAGAACCAGATCTAGAAGGGTCTTGAGTTACAGAACAACTTTGCTCCTTGACCTGCGAGGTCAACGATGCTCATAATACAACCAGGCATGTTTTCGTACTCCTGAAGTCCTAGTTCGATCCAGTCGGAAGGATGGGCTTCGAGGCGATGAAGCTCGCGAGCAATATCGAGGCGACGCTTCTCTAGTTCCATGATCCTTTGCCTAATCTCTTGTTTCTCATTTTCGAGCTCGTCGTGCCGTATGATAAGCTGAAGAAAATGAAATGCTTCGTTTAGCAATAATAAAAAGAAGTTAAATCACCAGGTTTAACAATACCTTGGTAATAAACTCCTCGGCCTTGGCACGATCTTGAGCTGATAATCTATCAATTAACACGTTTGGAACCTGAATGCTGGTTCCCCAACCTAATGGGCGTGATTCTTCTGGTTCGTCGTTAGCTTCCATTTTTACAAGATTGATGTCTGACGTTTCCGGAAGTTCATCACTTATCACTTTAAACGAGTCGGATGGGATTCTTTGAGAAAATACCTTCCTCAAACATTTTTGTAGAATTATTGTTGATTAAATTCAATAACGATCTACATCTGCCTTATATTCAAAATATACTTGACCACATTTAAGAGGGTAAATTGACGATTTCCCAAATCTGAAAATACTACTTTTATGGAAAATGTAATCGAGTTAATTACTAATTATATTCCCTAGATAAACGCATTAAATATGATTTGAGTAAATCAGCAAATTTAAAGCAAAAGGGAAATGTAATTAATATTGTTGGGCCTCTAGCCCAATAGTATTTTACATAGTAATAAAAAAAAAATCAAGGGACTTTTTCGATCAGAAGTCTTAGCCCGATAACGATTCTAGCGAGGTGGACGATCCCGAACAGCTTTATGAGGAAAGTCCATCGTCGGAAGATAGATCGAGGGGACCAGAAGGATGATTAGTAGATTTCTCCTCTGGTCCTTCGTTCTCTTCAGTTCTTAACATCGGAAATCTCCGAAATTCTGAAGAACACGAAACAAACGAGGATCCATCGCCGGTTGCCAAGGATAGATGAAAAAATTTATCCAGCACTCGGAGGAATCTTCGCAGGCAAGTAGGAATAAGGGCCACGATGTCTAAACCGTTCCTCTCCCATTCATGCGTTTCAGATTCTAGGCGAAGGATCTCTCTTTCTATCCTCTTTATTCGCTAATTAAGAGTATGGCGCCTTCTTCCGATTCTTTTTCTCTTATCATCACATAAAGCTTTGTGTCTCCCGACGACCTGTTTGAACAAACATTTTGTTAACTGGTCGAAAAAGAGTTTATAGTCTCTAAAAAAAAAAACTAAAAATCAGAAAGTGAACCTTTTCTAGGAAGTCATAACATTGGACCCTTTCTTTCTCCGTTCGGAAATGGAAAAACGTGGGGGTGAATAACTCCCTTGGGGGAAAATCCGTCCTCGGATTCAAACAGCGGATCCCCGCTTGAGGTTGTTACTCTTAAGCTAGTTCTGAAAGAGGATAGCGGCATAGGCTCGTTTTTCTTACAAAAAACTATGGGTCTCTCAGGATTCTTTTTTAAAACAAAAAAGCGTTCAGACTCTTTAAAGGAATAATATATAATGGACCTGCTAAAGCAGATTTCGGGTGCAATTAAAACATGGCCCAACACTTTCGGAGCCATTTTTTAGGTCATGATCGAAACCATTACCTGGTCATTCTTATGACAAAATTCTCACGAATTGTAAAAACCTTTTCCCTCGATAAAAAGCCTAAGCCGAGCTCTATCCTCGCACCCGAGAGACCGAGGAAAAATACTTGTTAAGATTTTTTCTTTAAAAAAGGCAAGTGAGCCTAATCAGCTCATCTCTCACAATTCATAAAACCTCTTTGGTGGGCTTAGGACTTGCAAACTTAGAATCGTATCCAAACGTTTTACCTTTTAAAAAAAATATATATATATACATAATGGTGTTCAATCACACTAATCAAAAACAAAACATTTCTGTCAAACGGATTAGTCCTTATGGATGCAGCAAAACAATTCTTTAAGAGCGTTCCCCTGCCTCAGGAGAACCCTCGTGTGGCCGAGAACCTTCACCTACCTCGAATTAAGAGGGAGAATCTCCAAATACCAAAGAAAATTGTTTCAGATCGAGAGTAGGACGGTAAGCCGAGGATAACTCGGATTCAACCACAGCGAGTTCGGCAGCAACTTCGCTCCTCTCGCTCTCGATCGAAACTCTTCCAGCCTCTAGTTCCTTAATCACGTCTAGATTGCTCTTCAGTTCGGCTCGATCTGTTAGAAGTTTAGACAAGATCTCTTTGTCCTTGATGAACTTCGTAACAGATTGAATAAGTTGCCTACCGAATCCCCTCATCTCTTCTCGAGCATTATGTTCGGCTTCAGCGATATCGCGAGCCCTGTTCCTAGTTAAAAGCTCGATCTCTTGATTCACTTATTCGAACAAAGCCGTATTCTCCTCTAGCTCAGCCTCCAAGCGAAGAGCATTAGACCTCGCAGAATCTCTTTTAGCATTCGCAATTCTGATGCGTTGCTCGTTAGCTGCTAGAGTTTTCTTCATATTTTCAAAAGACGACTCGAGTGCTTTTTCCCTCTCAAGTCGCTCAGATTGGTTGGCTAATCTAAGTTCATCAACCTCCTTCTTAGCCTTTGCGGTCTCTCTCTTCGCTTGATGAAGAAGGTTCTCATAATGGAAGATCATTCCATTAGTCTCCATAAACGCCTTCAGAGTAAAAAAAAAAACGTGTCGTTTAGACAAAAAGCTTTTACCTAAGGAAGGGAGGTTGTCATAATCTAAAAGATCCGAACTTGGGATAGGTAGCAAGCTCGATTGGCGAACATCTGACGGATTTCCGGCCTCCAAACCGAAAAAGGAGGAAGGGACGCCCCTTCCCTGGTTTGGAATCTTTGGAAGATGTCTCCAATCTCTTCTCCACCTGCGAAGCAGAGGAGAATAGCAGATTAATAAAATAGATGCAATCTGTAACAAGTTTTGCTAATGCTCGCTTTCTAAGTAAAAACTTACCTTAAATCGAAGCGGGTAAAGGATTTTGAGTCCTAACACTCAGTCCTTGAGATATGGGAGCCTCCGGTCTCGGCTCATCTATTTCCTCTGAAATTACTCTGTCTCCCGGAAGAGGGTTCTGAAGAGGGAGAAACAGAACGTAGAGGGCTAGAGACTCGTGGCGGAGAACTTAATCTCACGGTTTTAAGTCTCTCGTTTGATAGATTATCGGAATCTGGAGCCTTCCTCTTTATACAAGGAGAGGAGGTTATTTCTCCCTCACGCCCTGGTTCGGAAGGGCAAATTGCGGTGGCAACTGGAGGGTCGTTAAGTATCTCGGCTCCATGAGTATCCACCATGGTTGACAAGGCCGCTTCTAATGAACCGTCATCAACCAAGAGGGTCTTCCTGTGGAAGTTACCAACCCTGGAGATTGCAGCTATCCCTTTCTTTCTCCCGATTTCGGATAGCTGATCCTTAAGAGCCTTGATTTCAGCCTGCATCTTTCTTTTATCTCGAGCATTCAGGCTCGAGACGTCTTTCTCCTCGGGAGGAGGATCGAGGGGGTGAGTCTGACCGTCTTTAATGGCGAGCCCCGCTTTATGAATGCGTTGAAGGGTGAAGGAATTCCAATTTGTTTCACCCTCGGAAACGATTCGAAAGAAGGACAAGAAGTCAACAGTTGGGCGGGGGATCGTCTGGTTCCCTGAAACAAAGTGTTGGGTTAAGAATTCTATCTCTTTTACATAATACAGTGGAAAGTAATAAAGGTTGGATTTTTAACCAAATTTAGCCGACCAATTGGCGAGAAGAAGACCGGAAAGACCTTGAACGGAATGGGGATTGACTCGGAAAAAGAACCAGTATTTCCTCCAAGGCCCATCATTCGAGGGCATTCCGTCAATCAGGTTATGGTCAAGGGTAGGGTTTATAGAAAAAATACTTTCTGCTGCGGATTCACGGGCTCGAAATAGCCCTAAGAGTTCGCTGGTGTAGAGGGAAAACCCTGCTTCTGCCGAAACAGTCAGGGTGCTCAGAACGTATCGAAGAAAGTTGGGAACCATTTGGGGAAAGACAATCCCTAGGTGGAGGAGGTATAAAAGAAGAACTTCCGGTACGGGAAAAAACAAACCACAACCTTTGAAATAGACTTCGTACGCACAACAGTAACCCTCTCGCACCACTTCCGGAGACTCGTTGGGTCTAGGAAGAGAGAATTCAATTTCATGGGGATGTTACAAAGGCGGCGAAGAGCGCCAAGGGAAGCAGAGGTCGACTGAGACCTGAAATGCGGACCAAATTTGTTTCCCCTTTGGGTGAAGACTTCGTCCTCTCTGGGAACAGGGATTCCTTGACTGTCATCTTCGTTGTCCGAAACATAGACGGCTGGGGAAGACATCTTTTACTAAGAGGTTTCTCTTTTTCTGGTTTGGTAAAAGCTTTTAGAAGTAAATGTACGCTGTTGTAAAACCCGTCGTTCCATTTAACCTTATTTAGTAGAAAACCGCCTCGAGAATATTGGGAAGTGGGACGGTTTTTCCCGCAGTATTAATATAAAATTAGAAAATTAATGATGACGGTTGTCAGAGATATCAAATCATTTGATTATCCGAGATCGGCGTAATAGAGTTAAACATGGAATAATTCCGGAATGTTAAAGATCTCGAGTAATTAATTATTGTTTACTTAAGTCTTCCAAGCCGAACACTCAGCTCGCAAGACTTGGGGGGCTAAATGTTGGGGTCAGATCCCACACATTTTCGGTAGGATCCACTTGGATCTGTCCACGTCATTATTACATAATAATCCTCTTGGAGTTAAAGATATTTTATTATGGGAATCAAGCTTAACCAGTCGGGAATTCAATCCGGTTTACTAAAAGAGTTCGATCTTTACCAGTACGGAGTTCGTTCTTATTCAACATACAGTTCGCATAGAGAAAGGCCGAAGCGAGGAGAATATTGTTCGAGGTTCGCGGCAGCGTCAAGACGCGGGAGTTCGGAGTCAACAAGAAAGAGTTCGGAAGATCTGCGCGAAGCCCAAGATAGTTCAAATTCAAGCCGTTTCGGTCAAAATGTAACTTACATGATTAATGCGGATCAATGCAATTATGAGCAGTAAATGACCGCATTGATCATGTTTTCTCTATAAAAACAACCTCAAACGCATGTGTTTGGGGGGGGGGATCAGATTATTCATTACTTCTGAGCAATACAATACATTTTTCTCTCTTTACTATCTTTCGCAAGGCATTTTGTACTTCGTCCTTATCAATTTTTTCCTCATTTCTTTTCTTGGTTGATTTCTTTTTCAAATTCTCATATTCATTTCCTGATTTTACAAGAGGTTTTCTCCACAAAAATACTTAAAGATAATCGAATGTGAGTCCTACATCCACAGTCAACAATATCATCCAAAACCAGATTCCCAAGAAACTTCCAGACCCCGGAAGCTTTGTCATTAACTGCAGTATCAAGAAGGTGCCCTTTGAACGAACCTTTTGTGATCTTGGCTCCAGCGTTAATCTAATGCCGCGATCAGTTGCAGCCCGTCTTGGTCTCACAAATCTTGAGCCTACTAAGATCACTCTCATCCTTGCCGACCGTTCAGTTCGGGTACCCGATGGCGTTTTATTCGATGTTATCGTGAGTGTTGGTGATTGTATAGTCCCTACGGATTTTGTGATACTACCATATGAGAAGGAACCTAAGGATCCTCTAATCCTTGGACGTTCCTTCTTAGCTACTGCAGGCGCCATCATCGATGTCAAAAATGTTAAGATAGGTTTACATGTCGGCGATCTTGCGATGCAGTTCGACATGAATAGACTGGTCAAGAAGCCTACTATCGACGGACGTACCTATCTAGTCGAGAGCCTATCCACGTTGGCAACTGGTATTTACAGAGACTTGATACCTTCCGAACCTCTAGAGAGAGCACTAATCACTTCTGCAAAAGATATTAGTCATTTGGATGATGAAGCTGTTGAGTATACCAAGTTACTAGATATAACAGAGCATGTTATGCAGTTGGTTGTTCAAGAGGAATTGCTAACTACATCAACAAAAGCTGCTACACTTGGGGATTGGAGCATTGAGAAAGCTCCAAAGATCGACCTGAAGCCACTCCCTGCAGGACTAAGGTACGCATTCTTAGGCAAGAACTCTTCTTATTCTGTCATTGTTAATGCTTCTTTAAACAACACAGAGCTCACTTTTTTGCTAAGCAAGCTGCGCAAGTATCGCAAAGCTCTTGGCTTTTCTCTTGATGATATTTCAGGTATTTCTCCGGATTTGTGCATGCATCGGATCCATCTTGAAGATGAGTCTAAGTCGTCAATTGAGCATCAAAGGAGACTGAATCCGTACATGAAAGACGTTGTTAAGAAGGAGATCATGAAATTGTAAGAAGCTGGGATCATCTATACTATTTCAGACAGCGATTGGGTTAGTCCAGTACATGTGGTTCCTAAGAAAGGAGGCGTTATAGTGGTTAAGAATGACAAAGATGAATTAATTCCTACACGGACTGTCCCCGAGCATAGGATGTGTATCGACTACTAGAAGTTGAATGCTGCGACCAGGAAAGATCATTTTCCTTTGCCGTTTATCGATCAAATGTTGGAGAGGTTAGCCAATCACAAGTACTACTGCTTTCTTGATGGATACTTGGGATTCTTCCAGATACCAATTCATCCGGATGACCAAGAGAAGACCACTTTCACGTGTCCGTATGGTACATTCGCTTATCACAGGATGTCGTTTGGTCTTTGCAATGCTCCTGCGACGTTTCAGAGATGCATCATGTCTATTTTCACAAACATGATTGAGAATTTCATGGAGGTATTTATGGATGATTTTTCTGTCTATGGATCCTCATTCGATGATTGTTTGGAAAATCTCTGCAAGGTGTTGGCAAGATGTGAGGAAAAACATCTAGTACTTATCTGGGAGAAGTATCACTTCATGGTGCAAGATGGTATAGTCCTCGTTCACAGGGTTTCAGGTGATGCTGTTGAGGTAGACCGAGCTAAGATTGATGTCATGACAAGCCTACAACCACCCGATAGTGTCAAATCAGTTAGAAGCTTTCTTGGACATGCAGGTTTCTACTGGAGATTCATCAAGGATTTTAGCAAAATTGCTAGACCTCTAACAACTCTACTTTGCAAGGATGTGAAATTTGACTTCAATGCTGATTGCCTCACCACCTTTAATCAGATCAAGCAAGCTCTAGTTAGCTCTCCTATAGTCCAACCTCCCAGCTGGCATTTGCCTTTTGAGATTATTTGCGACGCCAGTGATTTTGAAGTGGGAGCTGTTCTAGGACAAAGGAAAGACAAGAAGCTTCATGCCATCTACTATGCAAGCAGGACGCTTGACGAAGTACAGTGAAACTATGCCACGACAGAGAAAGAATTAATGCTAGCTTTCGTCTTTGCCTTTGAGAAGTTTCGACCATACTTAGTCGGATCGAAGGTGATAGTCCATACAGACCACACAACACTTATGTACTTGATGCATAAGAAAGATGCTAAACTGAGACTGTTGAGATGGGTTCTTCTTCTTCAAAAATTTGATATCGAGATACGGGACAAGAAAGGAGTTGAAAACGGAGTTGCTGATCATTTGTCTAGGATAAAGGTTGAAGATGATGTTCCTATAAATGATTTTCTGCCAGAAGAAAACATTTACTTGGTCGAATCATGTTCGCAGGAAATTCAGTAAATTTTTTCAGCGATTCTCGATCATAAATGGCAGTTTCGACCGACACCAGCTGGGTGTCGCTCGACACCACCTACATTCCAATGGACACTTGTCGATCGCCACACGAACTTGTTGATCTGTCGCTCGAGATGTCAACGAGACACGTTGAGGTGTCGATCGACACACCTGGTGTCGCTCGACACCCTCTAATATCAGACACTTCCACGTTTCTGAATGAGACTTGTATGGCTGTCGCAGCCACATCCGATCCTCCATGGTATGCTGATATCGCGAACTACCATGCTGCCGATGTTGAACCCGACGATTTCACGGATTACAACAAGAAAAAATTTCTTTGGGAAATCCGCAGATACCACTGGGATGAGCCTTACCTTTACAAGCACTGTTTTGACGGGATGTACAGGAGATGTATTGCTGAGTCCGAAGTTCCAGATGTGTTATTTCACTGCCATAGTTCAGATTATGCTGGTCACTTCGCTACTTTCAAAACAGTGTCTAAGGTTCTTCAAGCTGGATTTTGGTGGCCTACGATGTTTCGCGATGCTAACAAGTTTATCTCTCAATGTGATACTTGTCAAAGGTGTGGAAAGATCAGCAAGCGTAATGAGATGCCACAGAAGTTTATTCTTGAGGTTGAAGTCTTTGATTGCTGGGGCATTGATTTTAATGGGACCGTTTCCTGCGTCCAATAAGAACAAGTATATTCTGGTTGCTGTGGTTTATGTCTCTAAGTGGGTAGAAGCGATTGCTATTTTAAGCTGTTTATGCAATGGTTCTTAAGCTGTTTAAGACCATTATATTCCCATGTTTTGGATTGCCTCGTATTGTCATCAGTGATGATGGCAACCACTTCATCAACAAGGTTTTGGAAAAGTTACTTCTAAAGTACGGAGTTCATCATCGCGTTGCTACTCCCTACCATCCACAAACGACCGGACAAGTTGAAGTTTCTAACCGGCAAATCAAGGAGATTTTAGAGAAAACTGTTGGTAAGTCAAAGAGGGATTGGTCCTACAAGCTTGATGAGGCACTTTGGGCGTACATGACTGCGTTCAAGACACCACTAGGGACAACATCGTTCCATTTGCTTTATTGGAAAGCATGTCACCTACCTGTAGAACATGAACACAAGGCAGCCTGGACTGTTAAGATGCTGAATTTCGACATTAAGTCTGCTGCAGAGAGAAGGTTGATTCAGCTGAATGAATTGGATGAAATAAGGATTCACGCCTATGACAACTCAAAGCTTTACAAGGCGTATCATGACAAGAGAATCATCTCCAGGACATTCGAACCCAATGATCATGTACTTCTGTATAACTCTCATTTGTATTTGTTTCCTGGTAAATTGTCTTCTTGTTGGACAGGTCCCTATACAGTTCAATCAGTTCGACCATATGGAACTCTTGTCTTGAAGAATGCTAAAGGTGGGGAATTCACTGTTAATGGGCAAAGAGTGAAATATTATTGGGCGAGAGCCGAGATTCCAAAGAGAGATGAGGTGCCTCTGCAAGAAGTCACCTAAGCCTAATGACCTGATGAGTCAAGCTAACGACTTTAAATAAGCGCTTCGTGGGAGGCAACCCATCGGTAGGCTGTATATATATCATTTTCTTTTCTTTCTTTTCTTTATTTTTCTTTAATTTTTTTAATTTTAGTTTTTGATTTTCTT